ATTAGGACCAACAAGGCAACAACAACAACATACGTGGCGCTCTGGTTTGCTTGCTTGCAACGGAAGCAGGGGACACGAGCATAATAGAACACCCCTCTTGTGTAAGCAGCCGGGGCGCCCTGAAACATCGCGAAATCTGCATGCCATATTGCCATCATATCATCGGTCTTGCTAAGTCTCACTCGACCGAGACTTCGTTATGTCTGGTTCTCATGACGTGGAAATCAAAAATGGTAAATGACTCCTGTGCGTGAGTTGTGATAACAGGCTCTTCCACGGCTGACGAACCGCGAGAGGCTCGTGCAGATGGTGGACCCGGCCCTGAAAGGCCAGTTCGCCGTCAAGGATCTCATCCAGGTGGGTGACCAGCGGCCCCCTCCGTGCATGATCGATCGATTTCCGCCATGGATGTGCAGCTCTGAGCTTCTTCTTTTTTTTTGTATCGTGGACGCGTGTGGGTGCAGGTGGCGGCGATCGCGGCGATGTGCATACAGACCAAGGCGGAGTACCGGCCGCTGATGACGGACGTGGTGCAGTCGCTCATCCCCATCGTCAAGAAGAGCCCCTCCATGTCCTGCTCCTCCACGCCGGCGAGGCCCCTGCAGCACGTCGTCTACATGAGCCCAGCCGCTGCCACCAACACGTCCTAGGCCGCCACACGACACGATCGTACGACGACGACGGGTTGGATTTCTCAGCGAGCTGTTCACGTCAGTAAGGCTGACGCGTCTGAACTGAAGATATCAGATTTCTTTTTTTCTTTTTTGCGAGCCCTAAGTGGAAGATATCAGATTTCTTTTACATGGGTTTGCCCGAGCAAGTCCTCATGCTGTATAGAGCACCACAGGTCCTTCACTTCTTCAAGACATGCTGCATTGCAAGCTACCGTTGCAGGTGCACTACATGCGTCGTGATTAGTATATGTGTTTGGTCCATAATACATCATTGTTCTTTGTATAAAAATGTAGGAATACACATTAAATAAAAATTATAACTAATTATTAGTTTCCTTTTTGGGAGCACTCAGTTGAGTGTTGTTTGATGGAGTGTAAAATTCATGCACCACATTAAGTTTTTTTTAGTATAGTAGTACCACATTGTAGACCTTTTCTTTTTGGGTGCGGTTAGGTTTCAGTCGACTGAAATTTAACCAAGTCTCAGTAAAATAACATAACATACTAGAGAGAAAAAAAACTGAAAAATAGTATCGACTGAGACTTTCTCAGTCGGCTGAAACTTAGCAAGACTGTTTACCTATCGGTGAGAGTATTATGGAAACAAAACTCAACGAGCATGAATTGATGGACAAGAAAACCGGTATACACCACCAAGGCATGATTGTTTCCGGCTATGGTTGAAAGTAAGTGGTTTCCCCTTTTTTTGACAAACAATAACCCTCGAAAGAGGGGTGTACTTATATTATTAGCAACTAAGGCAGTGTACAGAGATCAAGTTTCCTCTAGGAAATGAGATGGCTTCAAAAGCCATTTTGGATTTACATCTTGAGTCTTTGCTGCAAAGAAAGCTACAGTTATAAGGAATTTTACTGGAATTGGAGATGGCTTTCTTTGCAAGAATTCTACTGAAGATAGCTTTCTTTGCAAGATTATGAGCAATAAGATTCTTGAACCTAGGAGTATGGTAGTAAAGCGGTTTCTTGTTTGTCTTGAATGCATAAATAATACTCCTTCCGTTCCAAATTACTTGTCTTAGATTTGTCTAGATACAGAAGTATTTAGCACTAAAATAAGTCTAGATATATCCGTATCTAGACAAATCCAAGACAAATAATTCGAAACGAAGGAAGTACTTCGACTACATGAGCCCGCAGCAGCAGCGGCACGGACCAGCTGCTGGCAGCTAGCAAACGTCGAAAATCGCAACACGTACGTACGACGACGGGCAGGATTTTTCAGCTGGCTGCGCTGCACTGCACCTGCACGTCACTAGGGCTGCCGCGTCTGAACTGAATATATCAAGATATTTCTTAGGGCAACGATCTGTGTCGGTGCGCCGGCCCAACTGTTGGGCCGGTCGCATCGCAGCCGTTGGATCGCGCGCGCGTGGGCTGTTAGATCCTGTCAATGAAAACGGTTCCTCCTTATCTTCTTCT